TCTGAGACCTAAGCAGATGGACCACCATCTCCTCATTTTACAGCAGAGGAGAAATGCGACTTATCGCAGGTCATGCACACTGGATGACGCAGCAGGGAAAGCACTCAAGAGCAGTGATTTTCAAACTGCGGTCTGTAGAACTCTAAAATGAGGTGCTTCCATACTTTTACAGCAATTTGATCCAAATTCCATTTTTCCATTTCAAAATCCCAAAGGAGGGAGAGAGATGGAGAAGGACTGCTGCATGACCATTCTCCACAGGAGTGCTTTCTCATTTTCCCTCTCTGAGTACAGGTGTCTTCTGGCAAATTAAAAAAAAAAAAATCACAGACACTTAGAAGCAAAAGGAAGGCAGACATGAATGTAGAGCCTACTTTAAGATTTAATATTTTTAAAATAACTATTTTATTTATTATTTTAATTTGCTATAGAACACATGTGCTTATGAGAGAGAGCAAGAGAGAGAGAGAGAGAAAGCAAGCCACTGGTCTGGGACTTGAACCACAGCCAGCCATGTGGAATTTTAGTGTCTTTATAACCACAATGCCTGCTGGTCCCAAGATTTAATAATAATTTTATTTTTGTTTTCAAAATGTTCTCATTGTTGTACTTACATTGTGTAAATATTATAAATGTGAACTTAGGAACATTTTCTTTTATGAGAAATTTTTGCTATAGGGCACATGAGCTCACTGGAGAGACAGAGAGATAGAGAGACAGAAAGTGAGAAATCCCCCCCTAGGTGGGATGGCCACACTGCAATCCCTTCTCCTCTATTCTTGTCTTGGAATTTTGGGCATACATGCATATGTGCCCAGCATGAGTTTTAAGCCGCCAGTCTGGAACACGAACTGCAGTCAACTACATGGGAGTCCAGTGAAGTAACTATCATGCCATCTGCTGGTCCCTGTGAACTTGGGAATTTATCCTCATAAAAGACACTTTAAATCTTTTACCAGTGTATAGTTTCCTTCGAAAAAAAAAGGATTTTTTTGCTAAGAGGAAGCTTATAAACCACCAAAGATTAAGGGCACTATTTCACTCTTTACTGTCTGAGTGACCTTGGTTCTGTGAGAAATACATGAGATGATGCAGCTCAAAGAGCCACCTAAGCTCCACATCTGTGGAATCCCTAGTTTCCTCCTGCTCAGGCCAGTGCGTGTAATACGTGGTTACAAACATCCAATCGACTGCCCTCACTTGTACCAAACTCCAGCTAGATCAGAGCGCCTAAGCCTGAGGTTACGGTGGGCACTCATGAACCACTTGCCTCCATCCATGGAAAAAATTGTCTTCCATGAAACTAGTCCCTGCTACCAGAAAGGTTTGGGATGGTCGCCTTAGTGGGTGCCTGGATCTCAAACTCCCCAGGGAAGACTTGACTTGTGGGCTGGTGCACCGGAGGGGGAAGGCAGATGGCCCACTGGAGCTCCTCCCCTTCCTCTGGCCCAGAGTCCAGAGAACAGCTGAGGCAAAGTCCAGTGAAGCCTGATAGTTGTCAAACATTGTAACGCATACACAAAGTGACTGGTGGTGGTGGGTGTGCCGGGGCGGGGTGCAAATGGCACGGCAGCATCACACCAACTATGACGACACCAAGATGCTTCAGGAGTCTTAAACGTGAACCAGATGGGCCTCGATCCCAGTTCTGTTCCTGACCAACTGCATGGCTATGGCTAAGTTTTACTTTTCGAGCTTCAGTGGCCTTATCTATAAAAAGGGGCTAAGAAAAGATCTCACTGAGCTGTTTCGAAGGAAAAATGGGAGAACATATGTACAAGTACTTGAGCGCATGACTGGGGCTGGCCATCCCACAAAGAGCAGCCGTTAAGTCAAAACAGCTCTTCAAAGGCCAGAAGGCAGGGAAAACCCGGCGGTGCGACGTCACAATCTCTCTTTTTAAGAGGAAATGCTGGTGCAATTAGCTGGGTAACGGGCAAGTGTGTTCTTGTCCCGTCTGGAGGGCCGGAACCATGCCCCATTAGGAATCCGGCTGCACAGCAAGGGGCGAGCGGCTGTGTTTAGAGCATATCCCTTGCTAAATTACAGCCCAAGCTCTGCCTCCTGTCAGATCAGTGTGATGCTGGATTCTCATAAAAGCTCGAGCCCTATGTGAATTGAGCATGTGAGGGATCTAGGTTGCACACTCTCATAAACCAACCCCTTGGAGGCTGGCAGATAGTGAATTGGTTAAAGTGTAAGACTCTCACATAATCGAGCGCAGTTTGAGTCCCGGAACTGGCAGCTTGCTTTCTCATTTTCCCTTTCTCTGTTTCTGGTCAAATTAAAAAAGGATAATAACAAGAGGAATTAATTAAATAAATAAATCTTTTAAAAAGAAATAAAATACCTTTAAAAAAATAACTTTATTTTATTTTATTTATTTATTTATTTATTTAAATTTGACCAGAGAGGGACAGAGTGAGAGAGAGAGAGGGTACGAAAGCAAGTCACCAGGTCTGGGATGTGAACCACAGTCAGCCATGTGGGAGTTCAGAGCCCTTAGCCACCATGACACCTGCTGGCTCCATAAATAATTCTTTTAAACAAACAAACAAACAAAAAACTGTAAACGAAAAAATACCAACTCCAATCAATCATGCAAGAATTGTCTTCCACGAAACCAGTTCCTAAAGCCAAAAAGGTTGGGAACTGCTGCTTTAGTGGATGGATGGATCTCAAACTCCCCAGGGAAAATGTGTGGGCTCACGCACCAGAGGGAGCCCGGACAAGGGCGAGGCAGACAGATCACTGCAGCTTCTCCCCTTCCTCTGGCCTGCAAGCTAGCTTAGAAGTGGGGCATCCAAAGGACCACTCTCAAACATGAAATCCACATAGCTACGTGCAGACAGAAACAGACTCTCACCCAAAGAAAATGAAAGTATCCACACTTTATTTATTATGTGCACTGCTGGAAAGGGAAGCCACCTGGAAAAACTGCAATCGTGTTCTCAGCCGACGGTGCCTTCTACGCTCCCTCCCTCCAAAGCGGTTTAATTTCAACCTACTGGGCTATGACTTCACATGGTAGAAGAGAGAAGGTCATTTGGTGTCTGGAGACAGGGAAACTCAAGCAATCAAAATCACTGTTAACTCTGAGGAGAGGTTTTTCAGCCAGAATATAGGGTTTCCTGGTCCTTGGTGGTCAAGGGTGAGCCCCCTCACATAAAAGATAAAACCATCATTTTACAATTCAAAATACCAATGCAACTTGAGTTCCAAGTTGAAATGCTCTGTATATGTGTACATCTAATAAAGTCAGCTAGGAACCCAGATGTACAGTGGTTGAAAGCTTTCTAAAACAAACTTGGACATGGAGTATAGAGGAAGGGATGTCCACAGGCAGAGACTGACGGGGTGATTCAGATACGGAGGGAGATACTGGGACCGGAAGTCGCGTTTATTAGACTTCTCTAGGCAAACTCAGAGCCTCAAAGAGGAAATGTTACAAATGTCACCAGCCACCTTGTCGGGTCAAGGGGAAGAAAGCCAAGTTGTTCATATTCATGGGCATTTGCAAAATGAGAAGCTTCCTAATATTACAGGCTAAGAAACTGGTCTGGGGAGGGGAGACTGCTTCCTCTTTTAGCATCAGCATAGGAAAAGAATGACTAGGTAAGCAAGAAAGATCAACATCTTGGCTGGCCCAGTAAAATCGTGATTAAGCACTGTGCATTGGGAGTTAGATCCCACATGGACAACTACAGTTCAAATCCCAGCCCTGGGGGCTTATAAAACATGCCAGGCCTGCATACATGTGTTCTCAAAATCCTGATGGGATGGAGGAAAAAGGACTACAGCATGACCATGCCCCATGGGGGGAAGGAGGATATTTTCTTTCTCGCTCTCTGGTGAGCACATGTGCTGACAATTTTTAAAAAATTACACCTATTAGGTCGTCGAGAAAGTCATGATGTATTTTTCTATGCAAAATGACCCAATATGTAGATACTCTGTTTAACAGTGTCTGCCCAAGCTCATTAGAAATGATGTGCCCAACATTATGTGAATTTCTTATACTACTTAATGAATGGGATTGGTAACCAAGATGTTTCAGACTGTACAATTAATAGCATGCAGTCAGTAAAATAAAAAGGCCTACTGAAGACAGTTTTTTAAAAAAGTATTGTAGTCTTTATGCTACCTAAATGGGCATACAAATGTTGTTTACAGAACTTAGAGAAAGTTTCATAAAAAAATCAAAACTATTTAAAACCTGATATAGGAGAACAGGCAAAAGTGAGAAAAAAGCACTTCTGTGACAAGTACTTAGCTGGTTTTTGAAAAACCCAGAGGAATCATTTACTCATAAAAAACGGCTCAAAGAAGTGTTTTCAAAATACACATGATATTATACAAGAGATCGTAAAAGCCTTTGAAGGTTAGGGCAATCTTTTTCCTCAGTCTTGACTACTTCCAATTCTGGTAGGTACAGGTAAGAAAAGGCCTACTCCCAGTGAGTGGTATTCTGAACCTTGGTTTGGGTTTAGAAAGGAAATGGGTATTAGGGAAATTGCCTTGATTAAGGTTCCCTGGAGATAAGGCACTTGTGGCCTAGAGAAGCTGGTTGTAACAATAAGGTCACGACCTCTGCAAAGCAAAGCATTTATCTGGCCATGGTAGTGGTTGGAGCTATGTTCTTGACTCTGGCCTGGCTGCTGATAGAGAGTTCAGAAAGGTTTAATGAAAGACAAAAGAAGAGGGATTTAACATACTATGCAATGATCTAAAAATAATAGACTTTTAAATATTTTAAGGAGTATGAGATAAATTTATAGAAATCATCAATCTCTCTCTTTCACTATTTACAAACTAATGATTCTTTCATCTGTTTTTATGATCACTATGTGTTCTAAAAACACCACACTGAACATAAAAAACAAATGAACAACAACAAAAAAAAAACAGAAAGGAAGGGAGGATGTTCAAGATTCCCTACCCTACTCTCTCCTTGTGAGTTAAAAGGCTAATTTGGTCCCCACTGCATCCTTAAAAGTCGTTGGTCTGTCGTGCACGACTCAGTGTTTGGCTCCCACAATGCTTTGCAACATATCTATGGGCAGAGGGAAAACAATGGTTGAGTTTTTCTCAGCAGCGATGGTGGTCAATGTCTGAAGGTACCGAAGCTGAAGGGCTGCTGGAGATTCAGTGATGACCATGGAAGCTTCTTTCAGAGCCCGGGATGCATTCATTTCTCCCTCAGCTGCAATGACCTACGGACAGGGGAAAAGAGAGGTCAGATTGGAGAAAAGCACGTGGCGTCACCAGCAGACTCCAAACTTGAGGACATGTACTTCAGTGGTCCACGACACATTCCAGGGAGTGTCAGGATAGGTTTTTCTCAGAGGTTTTTGCTAGAAGGTGCGTGCATTTGCCAGAAAGAGAGAGAGAGAGAGACAGAGAGACAGGAAGTGAGAAATATCCCCCCCCCAGGGGGGATGGCCACACCGCAATCCCTTTTCTATTCTGCTCTTGGGATCTTGGGCATGTATGCACGTGTGCCAGGCATGAGTTTAAGCTACTGAGTCCGGGACTCAAACTGTGATCAACTACAAGGGAGTCTAGCGACATAGACATTATGCCAATTGCTGGTCCCTGTCAGGATAGTTTTAAAGAAACCATACTCAGTCTCCAAATATTCTTTTTCCTAAGACTGATTTGCAGCCCAGTGTGTATATGTCTGAGTCAAGACATCTCTCTTACTACTGCCTTTCTCCCATTTTCCAGGGCACCAAAGACAATTCAAAATATTGCATTGGGTGCAGCAGCGAGTGGCTTTAATAATCGGATACAGATCTTTTTGCAAGTCAGGTGGGTTTCCAATTCTTTGATTTTAAAGAAAGGAACGAGAACATACTGAACTGAAAACTGGTAGATTATTATTAACATTATTTTTGATGAAAGATTGCTATGTGAATTTTTAGCACATAAATTAGAAGGAAGTGTTAAGAATTGCATGACAGCGGGACCAGCAGTTAGCATAATGGCTATGTCGCTGGACTCCCACTGTGGTTCGACTGTGGTTCGAGTCCCGGACCTGGTGGCTTAAACTCACGCTGGGCGCGTGTGCGTGCATGCCCAAGATCCCGAGAGGAGAATGGAGGAGAAGGGATTGCGGCATGGCCATTCCCCCTGGGGGGTGATTTCTCGCTTTCTGTCTCTCGGTCTCTCTCTGTCTGTCTGGCGAGCGCACGCGACCTATAGCAAAAACCTCTCCAAAAAAAATAAAAGAAAATAAAAAAGAATTGCATGACATCACTCTAAATAAGACTATTCCTATTTATGTAGACACGGCTTCTTAGTCCTTATATCTACAAAAACAAAAAACAGCAGTAAACTTACACTGAATCCTCTCTCATTCTAACAATAAGTAACAGACATCTATACATATGTGATTTAAATATTCATTCATCTTATTAAGAAAGGCATTTTTGGGACCAACAGATGACATGATGATGATGTCATTGGACTCCCATGTAGTCGACTGCAGTTTGAATCCTGGACCCAGTGGCTTCAAACTCATGCTGGGTGCATGTGTGTGTGTGTGTGCCCAGGATCCTGAGGGCAGAATGGAAAAGGGATTGTGGTGTAGTTGTGTCCCTGGCGTGGGGTTGGGGATGTGATTTTTCACTTTCTGTCTCTCTATCTCTGTTGTTCAGCCAGTGCACGTGCCCTATTGCAAAAATCTCTCAAAAAAATGACAGGCATTTGGGGCCAGCCAGGTGGCATGGTGGTTAAAGAGGCTGAATCCCACATGACCAACTGCACAGTTCAAGTTCCTGACTCAGTGGCTTGAAAAGCATGGGGATGCATGCCCCAAATCCCTCTCTTTCTTTCTCTCTTTGTTTCTTTCTGGCAAGCTCATGCACCCTATAGCAAACAAAAAGAAAATAAGAAACAGAAAAAAAAAAAAAAAAAAAAAAAAAAAAGGGCGG